CTACTACTACTACTACTACTACTACTACTACTACTACTACTACTACTACTACTACTGATGCTTAGTACTCTTACAGTGCAAACCTAGCCTGTTTAAGTCATATGCGAATTTCGTATATACATGCAAGCATCAGGAATAGTCAAGTTATTTTGGACCGCCATATAAAAGTATTTTCTCTCGGAATATGATTCATATAAAAAAGGGTGAACGGGATCTGATGTCATTTTAGGCATTACATTGAGAAAATGTCCATATTTCACTTTTAATAAACTATATCCTAATTCTCGCTAATTATCATACATTTAATTGCTCTATTGTTGCCGATATGCAATCAAAACTAATTGAGATCTTCATTCATAGTTTACTTGAAACATTGAATAAAGAATAGCTAAAAACAAAAATCAGCTACATTTCATTATTTTTTAATTTAATTAATAACGACGGTATCTGTGCTGTGGTTTTGTACATTCACAAGATAATAACGTCAATCAAAAATTGCTTTATAACTGGCCGAAGACTAACTGCGCTTCAAATATTCACCAATGTCATCAACTGAATCCTGACTTAAAGTCTAACCATTTGGAGATGTAATTACGAAGACACTTTCTCGGCCTCAGTTATTTTAAGACCCTGAGCCTGCCAAACCTCTGGCAGTATACAGTTTTTTAATAACTAAGTAGGTGAAGTAGTAACTTTATACACGAGACATTAGATTGATTAGATATTTTATATTAATGAGACGAGACATTGATTTGATATTTGTAGGATTGAACAACGAGTTCTTACCTTCACAACTAATGTTTAGTCAACTCAGTCCATCTATATAGTACTGCAGGACAACACGGTGTATAATAGGATGAAAACTACTAGCCACAGTTTATATATAGCTGTGTTCTCTACCTTTCATTTTTGAAACTCTTCAGTTGTTTCAGCTSTAAACCATGTGTTTCTCTTTGAATCCTTGGCGTTTGATCTCTTCCTGCTTTCATTTATGTCTCAGCTTTATCATGCTTTATCAAACGGCGGGTCTGTATATGACAAAAAGGCAACCAGAATTAATATAATGATAAGAACATTCATTGCTTTCGGTTCGCTTTGAATGCTGTACCTTGCCCCCAGCGTTGGACACAGTATTTTTTAATGTAACTATATATTAGCGACAAGAGTACAATAGCCGAGCATGGAATCTAGGTGCGCTTGCACAATGCGTTGCTTGTCAGCACTCTTTAAATTTTATTGTAATTTCATATAAGTTTTAACTGAAAGAAAATGTTGTTGCCTACAACCAAAGACAAATATGCTATTTGCAGAAGATCGTATTTTTCTCGTATGATATTCATTGTTTGTTTTAGAGTAATAGCCGATACTTAATTATCGAGTCGAAAAAGAAAAAGGAAGCTATTGAGTGGGTGAAAGCCGATAAAAAAGTAGAGGTATTCAGAGGCGGATCCAGGAATTTTAGGAGGGGGGTGACTATTACAAAGGTTTTATCAGGAATGTGATATAATGTGAGATTTGAGCAAAAGGAAGGGGGGGGGGGTGACTAGTCATCCCCTTTCGCACCCATAGATCCGCCCCTGGTATTCTAAGGAAGAAACTAAAAATCCAAAAAACTTCTTCAGTGGAACACGTAGCCTTGTTTGCAAACGTTCTTTCTGATACGTTGCTTGCTTCAAAGCAGGATGGAAATCAAACTTCGAATAATAAACTGAATCTTTGAACCTTGATAGGAACGCATGAGCTGCTTTGACTGTAAAGTAAAATCATGACAATCATTTAATTAATAAAACATTAATAATCATTCAAATCATTCACTTTTTAACGATTTATAAGTATTATTGTTTCTTTAATATGACCCCCACTTTCAGTCTAACCAGATTTTGCATTAATGAAATTAATTGAATTCTGAGCCCGGATTAAAAGCATATTTAGTCATCACAGATTCGTTCAAAGGTAAAATTATTTCTACAGTTGTAGCTACCATTTTAAAGTTATTTGTGTGATGTATTGTTTTGTTCACAAGTCCTTTCATAAATGAACATTTTGATGTTTTGAGGTAAAAGCCGGATCTGCAATAGTCCCACTAGTACTGGATGACGACGCAATATTGAAACGAATATGACCCGAATACAACTTTGAATGGTTACTGTGATTCGAAAATTCTCAAAAATTAAGTGATTAAAACCTTCATAGCGAATAAGATTAAGATAATCATTGTAAAATCTATTCTTGCTAAGGGTATTGATATTGATCTCACCCATAACAATATTTTCAAGGTTTTCTTTGATAAAATGAATTTCATGTAGACACTTAGATTGGTTTCATGGCAACTTGTAGATAAGACCAATAGATCCTTCCACTTTTTTTCCAACTTTGTGTATAGACTAGTTAGCATATAGCCATGCAAAGTCAGGAAATGTTACAGGTTCAGTGCATGGTCGGAGCGAGGCACAAACTTGCCCCCCCCCCCCTCCCCAACAATGTTTGTAAATTTTCGCAACGGAAGCCAGATCGTTAAAAAAACGTGAAAGGGTTATCAGGCCATTAAATATTTTCTATAGGATCCTGAAGTCATTCCTTAAAATAATTATAGTTAATAGATTCTATTAACTATGAAATGATATCATGTGATCAAGCCAGCATACAAAGCAACCCCTCCAATAGTGGAGTAGGAGCACTTATCAATAATTATAAAATAGTTTGAAATATTAAAAACGAGTTAGATTAGTTCGTGTTGTAAACCATGCAGTTTTGAGCAACTAAGTCAAAATTAAACATAGCTTTTGTGTCAATCAATTGGAAAAATTTTTCAAAGTGCTGATTTAGACTTCCGATAGGGCGCTTACCATTTCAACCAATCCATCCGGTTGAAAGTAAGAAAAAAGCGGGAAACTTTGAATTTCCACGAATGGTACACGCGTCTACAAAAAAGAGCGGGAAAGTGGATCCTCAATCGGAAGCTTGAGATTTCCGACAACATATATATTCAAAACCAACTTTTAAAAAATCATTTCACAAGGCTAATTTGGCATTATACTAAATAATTTACAGAAAGTAAAAGGGGGATATCCAGGCGTTTCACTAGTGAAGAGGTACGAACTTTTAGATATTTATGGATGAATCTGATACCAAGTGCGTGACAAGCGTTACACAGCATATTTTAAAAAACGGCGTGACAAACTCTGTTTTCGGCGCGTTTGCACGACGAGCCAAAGCATGTAATGCTGCTTCCCTGTTGCATCTCTGCCATATTACAAGCGAAAACACGTAGAAAAACTCGACATTTTTAAGCTTTATGGTATTTCAGGAAGACTATTGGATTTCAAGTAAAGTTAATTTTGACATTTTGCTTTACACGGACAGAAGAAAAGAATTTCTGAAATATTTGGTAAGTAATTGGTAAGATGATTTTGAAAACTCCAACTGAGTAAGAGACTTTCATGATGAAAGTGTTTAAGTAATAGCGATCAAAGAAAGTTTTCTAAAACTTACACACCTGTATATTAATAACTGGTAAATTTTCAATTTGATAATAAGCTTTATTATAGATAAAAGTTTTGGTCTTTGATGGCGAAACTGAACTATGACTTATGATTCTTTGTCAATAATACCGGCTCGAACTTTATCTTTATGGACGCTTTGTTTCGTGCACCTTCGAGTAATAAATTATTTTAGAAAGCCCAACTCGCGCAAAGCAAAGTGGGTTTTCAAAAACTTCAAGAAGAGAAGTAATTATCCAATCTTTCTCTCTCCACAAAACGACGCTAGACGTGTCACGACGCTACGCGTTCTTGGTTTTCCGCAATCTCTCGTGTTCTCTCGTTTTGTGAGTTTTCGACACCGTCATAGTTAATGTTGAGTGATGCTGGGCTGTTTTTATTTGGTGCTTATGCATGAGTCAATTCAAAGGTGCCCACCCCTCCCGGGCATACCCCGGGCATTTGACCATAGTCGAGTTCCGCATAGTGGGGAATTTGACGCTGAATATATGCCCGAACGAGCGGGCATTTGACTAACCGACCCTTATCTAATGTGCAAAATTTTTTATTTACAAAATTTCTTAGAGTGCTTTTAGTCTCACTGTTGAATAGGTGACGTCAACTAAATGAGATAAGTTATTTACTATTTTAGGTAACGTCACCTAAATTTGAAACTACGAGTAAACAGCTACTGAGATCAGGGGGAGAAACGATGATACAAATGAATGTCTATTCACTCATATTCTCTGGTAAAACAACCCCCCGGATTAGCATGACCGTTGTTTGGCGCGCTTTTATATTTTACGTGACGTCAACTAAATAGTTATCTAAGTTAGATACATTTATCTAACTATTCAACAGTGAGACTAAAAGCACTCTACCTGGTTTGTGCTTATGTTCGTGTTTTGAATTTTAAAAAATGAAAACGCCTAAGTTGTTTGAAATCTGGGATGCCACAAAGGATACAAAGGATATGTTTTAAACAATATAAATTGTCAACTTTTTGAAGTTTTAACCTATTTCAGTAAATTTTAATACTGAATTGTTTTAGAAAATKTCGTTGAAGGTTTTCCATTGGTGTGTGTTTTGCAGTGTACATTATTTTGCTTTCTTAAGCTACTTTCCTGGGCTTGCAATCCTTCAACCACTAACCTAAGCTTATTGACGAAGAAAAAATTGCCACAACAGATAAAATTACTGTTTTGTTGAGAGAAAATTCAAGATTTGTTGTCTATGATATTGGGAAACTTTAAAAATTTTCATTTATCATGATAACCATGAATAAAAAAAACTTCAGTTGTACAGGCTCAGTTTAGTACTTTTTAGATAAAATTTGAGATTCATCAGACTGGAGGGGCAGGCATTCGACCACTTAATGTAGCCTGAATGGTGGGGCATTTGATCATTTGATTGGCCTGCATGGTTGGGAATTTGACCATTTTCCCCCAAAAAAGTCAAATGCCCAGGGGATTGCACGGGGGGATGGGCACCTTTGGAATTGAGTGTGATGCAACTGAAAGTGTATTTGGCTGGGGGATGATTTTGAATAATAAATTGTGCTCTCCTTTCTCAGTATCCTTCCATTACTGTGATGTTATCCTATTGTAATCAACCTGCACCTTGCACAAGTTTATTGTTAAGTTTTTGGCAAGTGATATACTGCACCTCATATGGCAATCTTTTATTCAGCAAATCTTCATACCTTTATTATTTTCCACAAGTTATGAATTATTTTCTATACAATGCTCGGTTTTTAAGTTTTTTTCATCGAAAACTTGTGTATAAAGAGTTTAAACTTGAATATCTCGAATATAATCGAGTGAAGATTACCCTATTTTTAGTAAGATAAGCTTCGTTTCACGCTGTTTTTGTGAAGACCACTTTACATAAGGATGTAAGGATACATTGGAAGCTGCTATTAAGTCAAACTTTAAATTATTTATATTGATTTCATCTGAATTGTGGAAAAAATGGATAGAACAAAAAGGAAGTGTAGACACTAGCTTCTTTTTTAGTAAATAAATAACGAGARGTAGTAGTATTTAGGTAACATTTATTTTGGAGTTTAGTCCCACAATACAACATTTAATCTACTTATTGGGTTTTCCAAATAGAATGCACCCAGTTTACAATATTAGATATATTTTGCACAGAAAACGCTGATTTACCTATAAATACGATACCACCAATTTATTGCTGTATTAGTTATGCAAGATTTCTTGAAGAGCCCTCAATCTCCTGTTAATGTTATATAATGATTTTGCTTAATGTAAAGGTCGTTTAAAATCTGGAAGAAAACACTAAAATTGGCACACGGTTCCCTTATGTCAATACCATATCAGGGGGTAAATTTATCTTGAATGGGGAGAGGTGGGTCGTCATACATGCATGTCTTCCATAGCATTCTTTGTTATTACAATTCAGAAATTCAACTGAAAATATCCCTCCCCCGATAGCAGATTTCGTGACACCCCTTCTAAATTTCGTCTACAGGGTCTAAGTTAACTCTTAACCAAATTTCATTCTTTCTTCCAGTCTTTAACGATATTGCCAATTGAAAAATTGACCTTGAACCACCTCACTAACTTAGGTGTATACTAAAACCTATCGAAATACTATAGTACTATACGTGATCGAAATGAAAACCTCTTCCAAATCAAACTACAGTTCCTGGGTAAACGACACAACCCAAACGCGGATGTGACCAATTAATAGTCAGCAATTTCAAATCGATAGATATTCAACATAAATTGTTGATTAAGGGAACTTAAGATTTCGTACAAACGTAAAAGCTTACTGCAATGTGATGCAAGATGAGTAAATGTAATGTAACTGCTTTTGGACAAAGAAAAAAAGCTAGTAATATACTTACATACGCAACATTTAAATCATACCCTCRCACTRAATTAACAAATTATTAAATACGAGTATACCAGTCATCAAGTCCGTTCCATTTTTCAGTTCCATTTTCGTTATCCTGTATCGCCTGAAGCATCTAGTTTCGCTTTACATGTTCCTTGACATCTTTGGTGATGGTTACTTGTTGGGTTTCTTGTGAGGAATGCAACACGGTTTAATGGAAGGAGTATTGGTATGCACCAAAGAGGAGGAGCTGTTGCTGATCTTCTCATTGCTTCACGATACTGATTTTTCGATTTTCTGTCAGGGTTTACTCCCTTAGCCTTAGTCTCTTCCGAGACACCCACAAGGCAGTGGGGTTGTTCTCGTATCCCTGAGAAGGGRCCCTTACCGGGTACTGTCAGCAGGAGCCAGCTGAGCCCGGGTCTCGCGTAGGCAGGGACGACACACCCTGAARTAACACCACTTGACAGGTGCTACCCGCTACCTGAGAGATTTGCATGTTGTCTATCGGACGATGATGTCCCAACTCTCGCAATCGCATCGCGATTTGTCGTCCCGTGTTATGGAATCGCCAGGACACGTTCGGGTTTTGATGACACCATCATCTTCGCTTAACCACCATGAATGGCCACGCATATAAGAATACTTTATAAAGACGGTATCGCCCTTGTGGATGGGTTTGTTACTGCCACGGTCTGGTGTATATATCCAGAACATCTCTCCATGGCAGTTCGTATTAAAATGATAAGTGAACTCGCCAGGACAGCTCCTTGTTCGACAATTACTACCACTTCCCCAGCAGCTTAACCAATGTTTAGCTCCGTAAAAAAACGCCACACCATCACCGTTTCGAATAGCTCTGCCAGATTCACTGTGGTACGTCAAAATTATGTAAAACGTTTCACTGACGCACGTTGACCAATCTCCCGAATCCATAGTAGAACCAGGACAACTGCGAAGTTTACATTTTTCTACACCGCAGTTAACAGTGCAATAACAGCTTACCCAGCTACTGCCTCTTGCGTTACTTTTTAGAGCTATTGTGTCCCCCGAACGAAGGTAGGATGGACAACGCGATCGGCTTTCGTCATCGTTGTTACCACAATCATTGTCACCGTCACAGATCCAATTCTTATTGATGCATTTGCCATTGGAGCACCTGAATTTCCCAAAGCCAGCAGAGCAGCAGTCTACAGTATTACACGCTGTAGTCCTGTAATTCAATCCGCCTTGATCTCGCTTGCAGTCATCGACATTGTTCGTCCCCAAGCAAGATCTGTAATTGGTCTTAACCCCACCACCACAACTTGTAGAACAGCGAGTCCAATCGTGGCGCCAATTCCCCCAAACAAATTTGCACTTGGGCTGAGAGTCCCATTTCAAGACGCCGTTGATCTTTCTACACTTTACTGTTCCTGGAGTAGGTTGTCTCTGCTTGTCACAACTTACAGTCATCGTCATTCCTTCGAAGGACAGCTGGTGTTTGCAGGAAATTGTCGTACCTTCAACACCAAGAGTACCACAGCTGTACTTGTTCCAGTATTGGTTATAGGCTTKCTGACGGCCTTTGAAAACATTTTCTATTTCTTGGGCTTCTCTCTTGTACTGTGATCGGAGGGCGTCAGTCGTACCTTTCGTCTCCAGCAACCATTTCTTATGTAGTAACAACGCTTCTCCGAGTGCCTGATCCAAGTAGGCCAAATCGTCTCTGAATCCTTTAATGTCTGCATTGTAACTTCCAGAACAGCCTCCGCCATTGTGACTCAAGTANTTTATCTTGAATGGGGAGAGGTGGGTCGTCATACATGCATGTCTTCCATAGCATTCTTTGTTATTACAATTCAGAAATTCAACTGAAAATATCCCTCCCCCGATAGCAGATTTTGTGACACCCCTTCTAAATTTCGTCTACAGGGCCTATGTTGACTCTTAACCAAATTTCATTCTTTCTTCCAGTCTTTAACGATATTGCCAATAATATTGACCTTGAGCCACCTCACTAACTTAGGTGCATACTAAAACCTATCGAAATACTATAGTACTACACGTGATCGAAATGAAAACCTCTTCCAAATCAAACTACAGTTCCTGGGTAAACGACACAACCCAAACGCGGATGTGACCAATTAATAGTCAGCAATTTCAAATCGATAGATATTCAACATAAATTGTTGATTAAGGGAACTTAAGATTTCGTACAAACGTAAAAGCTTACTGCAATGTGATGCAAGATGAGTAAATGTAATGTAACTGCTTTTGGACAAAGAAAAAAAGCTAGTAATATACTTACATACGCAACATTTAAATCATACCCTCRCACTRAATTAACAAATTATTAAATACGAGTATACCAGTCATCAAGTCCGTTCCATTTTTCAGTTCCATTTTCGTTATCCTGTATCGCCTGAAGCATCTAGTTTCGCTTTACATGTTCCTTGACATCTTTGCTGATGGTTACTTGTTGGRTTTCTTGTGAAGAATGCAACACGGTTTAATGGAAGGAGTATTGGTATGCAYCAAAGAGGAGGAACTGTTGCTGATCTTCTCATTGCTTCACGATACTGATTTTTCGATTTTCTGTCAGGGTTTACTCCCTTAGCCTTAGTCTCTCCCGAGACACCCACAAGGCAGTGGGGTTGTTCTCGTATCCCTGAGAAGGGGCCCTTACCGGGTACTGTCAGCMGGAGCCAGCTGAGCCCGGGTCTCGCGTAGGCAGGGACGACACACYCTGAAGTAACACCACTTGACAGGTGCTACCCGCTACCTGGRAGGTTTGCATGTTGTCTATCGGACGATGATGTTCCAACTCTCGSARYYGCATCGYGAYTTGTCGTCCYGTGTTATGGAATCGCCAGGACACGTTCGRGTTTTGATGACACCATCRTCTTSGCTTAACCACCACGAATRGCCAYKCWTAWWAGAATACTKTATRAAGACGGTATCGCCCTTGTGGATGGGTTTGTTACTGCCACGGTCTGGTGTATATATCCAGAACATCTCTCCACGACAGTTCTTATTATCATAATGATAAGTGAACCTGCCAGGACAACTCCTTGTTCGACAATYATTACCACTTMCCCAGCAGCTTAGCCAATGYTTAGMTSCRTAATAAAACGCMACACCATCACCGTTTCGAATAGCTCTGCCAGATTCACTGTKGTACGTCAAAATTATGTAAAACGTTTCACTGACGCACGTTGACCAATCTCCCGAATCCATAGTAGAACCAGGACAACTKCGAAGTTTACATTYTTYTACACCGCAGTTAACAGTGCAATAACAGCTTACCCAGCTACTGCCTCTTGCGTTACTTTTTAGAGCTATTGTGTCCCCCGAACGAAGGWARGATGGACAACGCGATCGGCTTTCGTCATCKTTGTTACCACAATCATTGTCMCCGTCACAGATCCAATTCTTATTGATGCATTTGYCATTGGAGCACCTGAAYTTCCCAAAGYCAGCAGAGCAGCAGTCTACRGTATTACACGCTGTAGTCCTGTWATYCAATCCGCCTTGATCTCGCTTRCAGTCATCGACATTGTTCGTCCCCAAGCAAGRYCTGTAATTGGWCTTAAMCCCACCACCACARYTTGTAGAACAGCGAGTCCAATCGTGRCGCCAATTCCCCCAAACAAATTTGCACTTGGGCTGAGAGTCCCATTTCAAGACGCCGTTGATCTTTYTACACTTTACTGTTCCTGRAGTAGGTTGTCTCTGCTTGTCACAACTTACAGTCATCGTCATTCCTTCGAAGGACAGCTGGTGTTTGCAGGAAATTGTCGTACCTTCAACACCAAGAGTACCACAGCTGTACTTGTTCCAGTATTGGTTATAGGCTTTCTGACGGYCTTTGAAAACATTTTCTATTTCTTGGGCTTCTCTCTTGTACTGTGATCGGAGGGCGTCAGTCGTACCTTTCGTCTCCARCAACCATTTCTTATGTAGTAACAACGCTTCTCCGAGTGCCTGATCCAAGTAGGCCAAATCGTCTCTGAATCCTTTAATGTCTGCATTGTAACTTCCAGAACAGCCTCCGCCATTGTGACTCAAGTA